AAAGTATACAATGAAACCCTGATTTGCCGACACCCCTGTCATGGGTCCATTGGATCCCAAACAAAGGAATTGAATTGTGCAGCCTTTAGAATGCAAGTTTTGAATAAGAACTCAACCTCTTTTCAGAGAAGTTCATTCTCATTGCTGAGTTCATCAATTGGCTGTTAATTGAATGGTTGTAATGGCAGAGTCACTTGTAAGATTGGTTGTTGGTTAGATCAGAATACTAAATGAGGTAATTGAAGTTAAAAGGCCCTTTAACACTAAGTTCTGACTTCTCCTCTCAAAGAGGAATGAAGGTTTTTATACCCAGGTGCTTGGACTGGGTCAGGAAGAAATCAGGTGATTTCTTCCTGGCTCATGATTGGCCATTTCAGGAAAATTGAAGAAGTTATGACCACTTCTTGTCCTTGAGTGAGGCTCATTGAGTCTAGCAAAAACAGGATTTTTGCAAGGCTCACTGGCTTTGAAATACAACACGTTTTCTGGTCCAGTTTGTAGCCAGATGCTGGACCTGCATCACTTTGGGATGCAACAACCCCAACATGAGGACAATTTGACTTGGGGAAAATCAGGCTGGACATTGGCTCAAGTTACAGATACTCTTCTGAAATGTTCCCAAAAAATTGAAAGAGTTTTTACAATTTCAATACCTCATCCTCAGGTATGGAGGCCCACCACCTTAACCACTAGGCTATACACCACATGAGAATGCAGTTATGCACAATTCTTCATACTTCTATAGTTTGATTACTTCATTTTATCCGGATTTTTTTAGGAATTCCATCCAATCATTATGAAATTGCTTTAAAGTTTTATAAAAGTTATCCTTTAATTGTTCCAAAGATTAATTATTTTTAATACATTTTTGAATGAAGTGGGACTATACTGATTTATAATATATACTTTATATACAAAACTGACATATACACTTTATATACAAAACTGACATATACACTTTATATACAGTACTGTATTTTATATGCATACAAGAAAGTTCAAACACAAATTATTTGGTGTTACATCTCTCATTACAAATATAGTGCACAGGGCAATACTGTATGTATCTTTGCTTTGAAAACATTTAATTTTCTTCTATTGACTCTTGCTTATATGAGACTTGACTTAGGGACAATCTGACCTCAGTAGGATGCTCTTGATGCACCAATGACATCCGCATCTTGATGTCTCCCTGTATTTCAAATTGTCCCAACAACAAAAAGGTTTTAGAATTTTCAGAAAAAAGTAAAAAGACACAAAAATAGACAACACAAAAAAAAACTTGTAGCAAGCTCTTGATTTTTCGGCACAACTGTTCCCAATGACAGCTCAAGACACATAGCCCATGTAATTCAAGACGAATAATAAAAGGAAATTAATAGATTGATTCATTCAACAAAAAACGAATTGCACAGTGCTGAATGAAGATATTCCATCGCAATTGTTGGCGTTTCTTTCTTTCTTTCTCCATCATCAGCAGCACGTTGACCAACAACACATTCCCAACACTTTTGGAGAAAGCCATGATGAATGTGATGATTAGTGAAGGAATGCAGAGCAAGTTCCCGGGGGGTGCGAACCCTTGGTGATGGTCAGACTACACCCAACTCACGTGAACCGTGACAATGGGCCCCGGTGTATTTTCACATCATACTCTTCCCTGTCATCTTCATTTCTTCATTTATTTTTTACTTTGAGCAAGAAAAAAAGAGCTCCATTTATTTGCTGAACACCTCATACATAAACGCAGAGAAACAATTGAACTAGTGTTCCCCAACACCTGGTCTGCAGAATTTTTTTTTTTTGCCAGCACTCAAGGAGTTTTCTTGAGCATGATAAATGTATCAAAAGTAACAATGGAGTCTGTTATCTTTATCTGTAATTTTGTAGAGACAATGGGAGCTGAAATTACCCTATGAAAAATACAATTTGGCTTTTTACCAATTAATAACCCTTCAGACAAATTTTCAAAGCCAAAAGTACCGTATTTACTCAAGTACCACACGCACCTTTTTTCTCGGGTTTCAGAAGAAAGAAAGGGGTGCACGTCATAAGTGGGTGCAAATTTTTCGAAAAGTTTTAGGAAGTTATGTGTGCATTATATTTAACAAGCTGGGGGTGCCCAGCCACACCTGGGCATTGGACACATTTTAGTTTTGAACACTTTGATGTACTGCAGAAATTAATATGTGGAAGAGGGGTGCCCTCATGCAACTGTTTATCATGTTACAAATTATGCAGAGAACTTGAAAAAAAAATTATGATTGAAGTTGGTTAACTGGTGAAGGACCACCAGTAATCTTGTACTTGTGCTCAATGTGTCAGTTGTGGCCCTGTGGGCCACAACTGGCACATGAGCAAGGGGAGTTTATTACTTGTTACAATCCCAACTTGGAGTGCCCAGCCAAACTTGGATGTATGATTATTACATGATGAAAATGAATTTTTTAAAATTGAATGATGAAAGCTGGTAACATGCCAAGAACCATAAGTTCTTTGCACATTGCAAGGTGTGCCTGGGCACCCTATTTGTCTAATTTGATAAACTTGCTACCACCTCTCAAGGTTATTGTGGTGCTCAATTTCCTTCCAACCCCTA